GGAGCCGTCTCTGCGGCTAGTAACGACGGTGGCAGGTGGCGGTAGCAGGAGGCCGTTTGAAGTGCGACTGTCAGGCGTTAGATCCCAAATCAGTCAGGTGCGCCGCCCTCGGATACGGATGTCCTTGGTGTCAGGTACGCTTGGTCAGCCTGGTGTTTCGGAAGCGAAGTGCTGGAGTGGCGAGTGAGATGTCGAGCTCGGTTTGGGGAGTGTTCCGAACTGCCATGGGTCAGCTCGGGTCACAGCTTTGCGAGGCTCGGGACCCGAGGTAGTTCGTGCTCCTTGCAGGGAGCTCGGGTTCTCAGTAGGGAGCTCGGGTTCTTAATAGGGAGCTCGGACTCTTAATAGGGAGCTCGCTCTTAATAGGGAACTCGGACTCTTGGTAGGGAGCTCGGGCTCCTAGTAGAGCGGTCTGGAGTTCGGGCTCGGTAGTGAGCTTGGACTTCGTTACTTTTGGTGCTCATTTTGGGCGCTCCGCTATCCCGAGTTGTTTGCTTTTGCCACGTATCGGGTGATTGCGAGATCGGACCAAATTTCCCTTCATCACAAAGCATCCCTCATCGAGTAAGCATCTAATTGGCTGGATTAGCAAAGCTTATTCTTTATCTCAAAACATTATTGTTTTCATTATTTTTGGTGGTTTTAAACCCAGACCTTGGATCAATCCCGCATTTAGCATTGCAACTATTGGTTGACTAGCAATTTTTTTCTGTCTTGAAAAGAAGAAAAGAGCAATGCTTTTGTTGGACTAAGATCATTAAGTTCAGCCCTTTCAAACAAAATAAAAAAAAAAAAATAATGAAATAGTAATATCCTGGAGCTACATCAGTGATCCACAAATTGCACATGACTGATGAATCAAGTACCATAATCTCGTGGATTATGCTTACCACAAAAATCCTGTGTGCAAAGCCTCATACGGATCACTAATTGGGGTGCATTACTAATCCTTTTACTATTGGTTTTTGTTGAGTGATCCCATAAAAATCCAAGAGCTTCAATCCGCCTCTTCCACTATATCTGCTCAAATATGGTCTTGGTTACTGTAGGATAATAGGATAACATAAAGCCTAGGCAGGTAGTTCACAAAGCACAATTCAAGTTTCATAAATATTAACAAAAAAATTTAGATCATTGAAACAATCGAAAAATAAAAAGCAAAAAAGGTTCCTTCAATTTCAAGGGAAGCATATATTTCAAATACCAAATTTTTAACTACTAACTTTGCTGTTAAAAAAATGCATTTTATGATTTGAACCTTGCTTTAGGCCTCCTAAGAAAAAGGGCTCCTGTTCTTTCTTCTATAACAGAGAAACAGAACCAGAACAAGAAGAAACAGCCTTTGCAGTCCAAAAAGAAAGAATTATTTACGCATCTGTAGCAGTGTAGCTATCTGTAGCTTTCGTCCTGTTGGATCCACTCCACTCCATTCTCGCACTATGCTCGAGGCTCCTCCATTTTTCTTTTCTCAGTTCTCAGGTTTAAATTTTTGGAAAAGTACGGACATGCTTAATGCATTCTCACTGTAAACTTATAAACATTCACAATGTCCAAAATCCATATTCTATGCATTCATACTCGCATGTGAATTGACATCAATTCGGAGCTGGTACCTACCCCAAATGTAATTTGAGTCTACAAATTCTGACCCTAGGGTTATCGGTCATTCTCCTTTGTGTATTGAATGCTCTAAAAGGTTTAATTATAGTATTTCACTATAAGGTTATGTTTGGGAGTGCTTAAAAATAAGGCCAAAATTTTGGGCTAAATTTTGTGTTTATTCATACCTATACTATCTCAGTAGTGTTTTGTCATCACATACAAGGGATGCAAACGAATTAGATCGGATTTAAATCAAGGTATATTTGATTATGGTTCAATACTATTTATAGCAGATCTGATAGACAAGGATCTCAATTCGAATTCAATCAGGAAGTCGGATCTTGGATCTTCGGATCTGATCCAATTCGATTTGTTTTCTTTAAAAATTAATAAATTATTAAAAGAAAAATAAATATGCCAATTTAAATAAAGAAAAGCATAAAATACAAGTACTTTTTAATTATTTTCATAATATAAATACATGTTTTTATAAAAAGTAAATAATATGACAAATTTACAAAAATACAATATAAATAATATATTTATAAATAAATAATTAACATATATATGTATTATATATATTTATATAAATAAATATATAACAAATATAGGATCAAATCTTCTCGAATAGGATAGGGGGTTGATCCGAATCTGATCTGATTTTCCGATTGGATCCTATTATCTGATCCGAATTCGACCAAATAAGATCATGATCCAATCCATTTGCACCCCCTACACTCATTACTTATTTTTAAGCAATGCTTATTTGAATCCCAAACTCGGCCTAAGAACCACTATGGAGCTTATGGGGCCACTTCAAGATACCCTAAGGCTCTATTCGCTTTTCAATAAGTTACTTACCTGGGTAAGTTTTTCTTGGGAAACACTTACACGAGTAAATGCATTTACCCAAGGTTCAAAGTATCAATACGTATCGGCCGATATGTATCGTTCTGGGACCCCTCCGATATGCCCCTACAGTAGGTGTATCGGAGGTCTGATTGGTCTAGGGGGTAGAGGAGACCTAAATCAGCCCCCCTGAACTGGTTGCGAAAAAAAAGGCTCCAAAATGTGTATCGATTCGCTTGATACACCCTATCGACATATTGGGCGTATCGATATCTTGAACCTTGCATTTACCCATGTTCTTTTATTTCTCTGGTAAATTATTTACCCAAGAGATGGGTATCACTTACCCAGAAAAACAAACTCTTTTTTTTTTTTTTATGAATCCCATAAAAACAAACTTTCCCTAATGCACATATAAATCTCAAAATAGAACATGGAATTCAGGAGTGTCCTTGTCATTAAAGAATGCCCATGATGGCTAGGATCCGCAGTTCCTGAGAGCAACTGGTTCGGAAAATCATAACGAAACACTACCCATCATGAATGCCAATCTAAAAAGAATAAAAGATCAATATCCAATGCCTGGAGGCTTCAATTGTTATAGCAAAATATATTGCTAGACAACATGTTACATGAAAAGAAACCTTCTACTTCAAGAGTCCTAGTCCACAGGTTTCATGTAAAAGAAAGGAGAAACAAATTTAGATTCTTATGCACACGCACAAAAGTTCAATCATAACCAGATAAAAATCTCTCCTAACGCCCTTTCTCAAATCCAATGCGGGTTCTACTAGAACCTCTGTCATAGCCATCACGCATTGAAGATCCAGCACTTGCACTCATGGTCCCTCCGCTCCCAACTTTTTCCATGGCCTTCTTACCCTTCTTGACCTCCGTCAAGAACTGTTCCAATCCAAATGGATCAGCTTCTTCTGCCTGCTTCTCAAACTCCACTGCGCCACTTCTGGGAGCTGCACTCTCAGGGGCACCAGTAAATGCCCTGTCAGGTTTGAAGCGATCAGTCTTCATGATCTTTTCAAGTTGCTCATCTGCACCTCCATACATATCAGCATCCGCATCCTTCTTAGGCCTGTACAAGCTAGACAGGGTGGACTGTGCAGTAAACAGGCCCTTATCATATATGTTGTACTGGTCATCAGTTGCGAATCCAGAGTCCATTCCTTTCTCCTGGTTGAACAGCCTCTGGTCATACATGACTTCCCCGCGTCCTGCTCCTGTACTAGCCATACCAAGCGCCACTTTTTCACTAATATCACGGTCTCTATCACGTGTGATCTTACTCTTCTTACCCATTGCAGCATCTTTGGCCTCCAATCTTCTCTCTCGCTCCCTCTCCCTGCGTCGCTCCTCACGAATCTTTTCTCGCTGCAGGCGCTCCTCCCTCTCTTCCTTTGTCTCCCTCACAGGCTCCTCTTTTTCCCTCCCTCTTTCATGATCCCCCCTCACATCACCACTATCCATCATTGTCCTATCGGTAGGGATGGGAATAGCTGCCGGGGGTGGTGCACCCCCAGTCCTCTCAGCTCGGGCTTTCTGAGCCAATGCTCGCAGCTCCTGCTCCTTTCTTTCCTTCTCCTTCAATAGCATCTCCTTTTGGACCTTTGATCTCATTGCAACAGCTTCTCTAGCTTTCTGTTCCGCTACATATAATGCCTCAGAAAGTTTGGCAAAATTGTCATTAATCTGGACTTCTTGAAGGCCTCGTCCATCTGCTGCAAGACGTTTATCAAGGGGGATTGTATAACCTTTGGGGTTCTTCCAATTAGAAATGCAAGGTGGGATTTTCCAATCTTGCTGATCTTTCACTGTTACGGGACGAGGTGGGGAATGCATAACTGGCACGGGTGGGGAACCCATGGCTTTTGGGACTCTTTTGTGCTTGAACTTTGGCGGCTCAAGTGGATCAACTGGCATCTCTACCATTCTAATTATTCTCTCTTTTGCACCTGAATTGAACGCTGCTGACTGTTGTGATGGTTTATACTTAATGAACTTTGAGTCAGATGATTGCGTTGGCACATTCTTCGGTTGTGCCGCACTCAATCGGACATTGACAATTTTTTCAAGAGCTGCTTTTGTGCGCTCTGTTGTTTCATCTATCTCTTTCTCCAATTCTTCAGATTCTTTCACTTCATCTGTCAGAATTTTAGGGACGAGATCTTTATGCAGCGAATATACAATTTTCGAAGCATTCTCGTTCTGCTTAACAATTGCATCAAAGGCAACGTTTCCATGGGAGTCCACAGTAAGTGGAAGGATTTTTGAGCCTGGCTTCTGATCCTTCCTTCCCATGCCAAGAGGGTACTGGGCGACATGAATCTCAGGAAACGCACCGCCATCTCCAAAATCCTCGGGCTTTCGGGGCACAAAACCAGCACGTTTCAAGTATGGAGGTACTGGATTGGCTTTGGCAGTGGTAGACTGTTCTGCCTCAGAAGAACTAAAGCGTTGCTTGAACCATGGGTCATTTGAGTGGTCGTAATACGAGGTGGTCGATGATTTAACAGGTGGAAGTAGTTCGTTTAGTGCTGCCATGGCGAAACCACTTAGGGGAATAGAAAAGCACCGGTAATCTCAACCCGACAATCTGATAAAAAAAATATAAAAAGAGAAAGAAAAGAAACTAATTAGGTGGAGAAAATCAAACAACGTGCATAGATAAAGGGAAAACAACTTGAGTTTATGCTCTATTCCGAGATCAGATATTGAGTCATGAAATCTTAGATGCTGATCATGTTATTGAGACATGAAATCTTCAAAACAGGGGGAAGGTGTATTAAACGACGAAACCCTAACCCTAGAACCTAAGGAAGGTGTATTAAAAGACGAAACACAGAAGGTGTAAATTGAATCAAAGATCCAAGATTATAACATACCCAGACAGATCCATATAAATCTAACCCCAGATCGAACCAATCGTAGATTACGTTCGTGAGAATTGGCGGTAAAGATTTTTCAGTAGATAGATAAAAAAAAATAAAAGAAACATTCACAGTACAAGAGAGGAACAATTCATGTACCGGATGAAGAAGAAGAAGAAGAAGATCAAGTTTCGATCTATTAGGTTTAACTCAAACCTACCGACCTTCCTTCTATCGAATATCGCTGCAATGGAGCCCGGAAATATAAAATAAAAAGAGGGCGGCGAGAGGAGAGGGAAACGCGTTGAAGTCCATCCCCCTCCCTATTTGGTTCATCTAGCTTCTTTGATTGGGATTTCATCCCACCCGTGCATACACACGGCACCACTTCTACCGTTGGATTGGATTTTTTTTCGCTTACGACTGATTGAGACGACTCCGGATCACCTGCCCACGAAAACTCTGTCCACGCCCTGTGAATTAATTGAGAACATCTCCCCCTTATATAATACTATGCAGAAAATGAGATATTCTCATGTATAACTGCGACACGACTCACTTCCTACAAAAAGGTTCCGATCTAGTGTATGTGTATTACGCGTCTATGAAGTAAAGCCGTCCAGATTTTGAGCTGGGATTTGCTGCTCATGACAAAAACTGTGCGTACATCGCATCGGACCCATCATATCTGCGAGACAGAGATCATATTAGAACAGTTCTTTTTGTTGTGAGTACATCCGGCCTCCAAGTTATCGCCACGCGTCCATGCCAGAATCAACGTAGAAATTCTATTGAAAATGGACACGTGGGTTTCTACAATCGTTAATCAGTATGACGGATGATAGGCACGCGCCGTATTAAATCAATAGGATTAAATCTTCGGTGATGACTGATGAGTTTACTCTACCCGTTCGCCGCAAGCGAGGCGCGACGCGCGAGCGCTGCACATCCAAAGCAAGCTCCGTCCGCCATATCCATTTATTGTAATTCCATTTTCTCGTCTCCTCGAATAGGAAAGAGAGGCAGAAGCTTTCGGTCCTTAGTTTCAACCTGTTACTTTCCGCGAGGGATTTCATTGGAATGCAGAGGTTTTTCTGCAAATAGATTGAGTAACCCGACTGCTGATGTCGAAATTGCAAGTGATCTATCCATCTTGTTGAAATTTTGTGTTCAATGCCATGGAGCGCTACTCTACCGTCGGTTCTTTGAGGTTCTCACCTCTTCTTCCTTTAAGAAATCGAACTCTAATTCGTCGCATTAAGCCATCATTCTATGTGCCTTCATCAATTTCTTGTCATTCGAAGAACTCGGAGGATTGCGATGAAGAAAAAACGAAGAGAAATGGATTCAGGTTACTTGAATTTTCTGTAACTCTCACAGTTATCTCTTCTTCGCTGCCTCAAGCTCATGCCGCGCCGAAGGTCTCAGAGAAAAAGCGCTCGGCGAAGAAGATGGAAGCTTTGTCACCCGAAGAACTAAAATCGTGGTCTCAAGGGCTGCCGGTTGTCACCAACCGAATTCCTTATACGGACATACTGAATTTGAAGGAAGAGGGAAAGCTTAAACACATTATCAAGCTCCCCACAGTAAGTTTAAAGCAACGGCCTGATGCTGTTCTTGTCGTTTTAGAGGATTCTAGGGTTTTGAGGACTGTCCTACCGTCGGTGGAAAGAGATGGAAAGTTTTGGGAATCATGGGATAAATTACAATTGGATTCAGTTTGCGTCAATGCGTATACTCCTCCCATTAAAAAGCCGGAAATTCCAGTACCTTATTTAGGTATTTTGTTGAAAATACCACTCTTCATGTCTTCTTTTGTGAAACCAAAGCCACAGTCAAGGCGGGCGCTGGAGCTTGAGAGGGCCCGGAAGGAGCTACAGATGAGAAAGAAAGCTGAACTGGACAGGGTGAGGGAAGAACGTAAAATGATGGAGAAGGCCATCAAGGCCGAGAAGAAGATGGAAGAAAAGAAAAAGAATAGGGCATTGAGAAAGATAAAGCATGAAGAGTCTCTGCGTAAAGCAAGGAGGAATTACCAACGTATGGCAATTGTATGGGCCAACATGGCTCGGGATCAGAATGTAGCAACTGCCCTTGGGTTTGTTTTCTTCTTCATCTTTTACAGGACTGTTGTTTTGAGCTATAGGAGGCAGAAGAAGGATTACGAAGACAGGTTGAAGATTGAGAAAGCAGAGGCAGAGGAGAGGAAGAAAATGAGGGAGCTAGAAAGGGAAATGGAAGGAATTGAGGGTGAAGGTGATGATGGTGAGGAAGGGGGAAGTGAGCAGAATGCTTATCTTAAAATGGCAATGCAGTTCATGAAGTCTGGTGCTCGTGTTCGTAGAGCGAATAGTAAAAGACTTCCTCAGTATATGGAGAGAGGTCTTGACGTGAAGTTTTCAGATGTTGCAGGACTTGGTAAAATACGTCTTGAGCTTGAGGAGATTGTTAAGTTTTTCACACATGGAGAAATGTACCGTAGGAGAGGAGTAAAAATACCAGGTCAAATTTCCTTTACCCTCATATAATTGTTTCCTTTGAAGTGTTTTCGATTGGTAATTTTTTTTTTCTATTGAAATTGATACTTTATGTATTCAAGCTCGAGGATAAAATCAGTTCACTTACATCCTGGGTAACTGGGTAACATGGCACATAAATGCATGGTCCATAAAGGGGTTTAGCAAGTAGGTTATGAATCCATGGAACTTACTGCTTTGCGATTTTTGTGATATTGGCACAACATCAGTTTTGCATCTTATCCTGGTGAATGATTATATATTTTGTACACGAGTCCTGGGCAATGGACCATTTAGCTCTTTGTATATGGAGCTTGGTCCTTTCAACTATACAAACTATCCCTAGTCTTATAAAAAACTTTAAAGAAATGGTATGCTTTGTTTCGTGTAATAGGTCCAGTTCATAATAACACTAAAATGACATCACATAATAGCATGATACAATATCAAGTATGAAATTCTTTTAGGATCTGAATTATTTTAAGTAGTTCTTGGAAGGATCTCCACTGCTAAGTATAGTTAGTAAAACTGGGAAGATGTTTCAAATATTTTATACCTGTTACAACCCTTTTAATTTCTTGGAAAACCTCTTAAATATAAATGAAACAAGTCCACTGGATGTTGGGATGGATTTTGATAACATGCTGACATGGAGCTTTTTATTTATGTCACCTTCAAAATTCAAATAAGTCTTCTAATTTACCTAACCTCTGAGTTCATTAGAGGATGAGCCTGGTCAATTGTCTCCAATAGATTACCTGTAGTGTGACACTGTGACATGATGAAAATATAAGTGATAAGCCACGTTTCTAAAGCTTTATGTACTGCCAGTCATGAAAAAAAGATAATGCCTTCTGGATGACTTGATCTAATGATGATGCTTTGTTCTCAAAGATCCTGAGATTCCTCTCCCCTCAAACTATCCATATGATCACCAATGTTTGTATGCTATACACTGTTCTGCCTCTTTCATTTAGGCCCTTTAAATTCCACCCAACACTTAAGCTCCATCACTGTCCTCAGACTGCACCACTTGAAGTTTACGACCCCGCAAAAATATGCCAACTCAGCCAACATGAATGAGCAATGAATAACCTAATAATCTGCTGTTCCAAGCCCTCGCTGCGAAAATACATGCTGTTGAGTGGATGCCCATTCCTCTTACAATCAATGTGTCTCTAGCTAGAACCTAGAAACTTACATGGTGAAAGAGACTTTAATTCGAACAGGAGGAGCCTGGATTGCTTTATGTTGGAAATTCCCCCCTTTCCACCACAGATCTAGCTGAACTACCTACCATGGAGTTCAGTTTTCTTGGAATACATCTAACTTCGAAAAATGCAAGATTTGGTAGCCACCCATCTTTGTATAATATTTTTATGTCTATGGTTAGTTATTGAACATGGAGCCTTGAGGTTTTTCATCTGTTGTTTGATCTGGATTCTAATTTTTTGGTTACTTCATAATAACATTCTTCTAGTTCATCTCAATTTTGGGTCATTGTTACAACTTACAAGTTCATGCCCCCGCAAATATTTGAAAAAAAAGCCATCTTTATATATTTGAAAATTTTGGTTATTTATTAGAAACCCAATATCATGGACCCTTGGGGTTTCAATCCTTTTTTTTTATTTAGATTCTAATTTCTGGTATAATGCTATTCTTCTGCTTTTATTTTTTATTTTTTATTTTATTTTTGTTCTTGTGACAAGCCTGTGTTGCAGTACACTTCAATTAGTTCATATAAATATAACTGCAACAAGACGAGAAATCGAGTTTCTTTTTGTGTCAGATATCATATTAAAGCCGGTATTTGCTTTGTTCATATTTGTCGTTGGCATTAGGTTTTGTTACAATATATCACAATGATTCCTTGTAGGCGATTTAGCTTGAGTTGAAACACCAGCTTTATAATAATATGATCTGTTGCTTTCTTAGGTGGCATACTTCTTTGTGGCCCCCCTGGAGTGGGGAAGACATTACTAGCAAAAGCTGTGGCTGGTGAGGCAGGCGTTAACTTCTTTTCAATTTCTGCATCACAGTTTGTGGAAATATATGTTGGCGTTGGTGCTTCTCGTGTCCGAGCACTATACCAAGAAGCGAAGGAGAATGTAAGTACTCTCTGGAACTGCTCCGTTTTAACTATTTTTTCTTTCTTTACTTGTGCAATTTGGTGACCTACCTTTTGTATAAGAACATAATTTATGTTGTTATATGGTAATTCTTTCTGTTAATTCCACCATGATATCCAATGTCAGCATCACATAAATATCAAAAAACCCTACCTTGTTATTATTGTTACTATTGTTAGTAGTAGTACTAGTAGTCTTGGATTTGTTATAGGTATACCAGATTAGTCTTGGATTTGTTGGAAAAGCACATTCTTTAACAAATAATAATTAGCATGTGGATTTTTATAGGCACCATCTGTTGTTTTCATTGACGAGCTGGATGCTGTTGGAAGGGAGCGTGGTCTAATTAAGGGCTCTGGTGGTCAAGAACGCGATGCTACTCTCAATCAGGTTGGCAGGGAGATGCTTGATATTTATGAATCATGGATCACTATTGTTGCTTTTTTCTTCTATTTTTACTTAAAATTAGATACTGATATTTCTTGTTTTCTTAATTGAATTCTAGCTCCTTGTATGCTTGGATGGGTTTGAAGGTAGAGGGAATGTAATTACCATTGCTGCTACAAATAGACCAGATATTCTTGATCCGGCACTTGTGAGGCCTGGACGGTTTGATCGAAAAATTTATATCCCTAAACCTGGCCTTATTGGTCGCATTGAGATTCTGCAGGTAAGTAGTTCATATCTAGTATACATTATTTTGCATATTTACATGTTTGGTGTCCACAATGTCATTCTTTACATTTTCTTTAGAGTCTTCTCATGTATTTTTTTGGCAAGTCAATTCATGTTGAGATATTTTCAGTGATTTTTTTTAATCTTCTGGTATTAGGTCCATGCTCGTAAGAAGCCAATGGCTGAGGATGTGGATTACATGGCTGTGGCTAGTATAACAGAGGGAATGGTTGGTGCTGAGCTAGCCAACATAGTTGAGATTGCTGCCATTAATATGATGCGTGATGGAAGGTCTGAGGTAGGACTTGCACAGCTTGGGCTCAAATAATGCATCTGGTTTTGGTTTACTATGGAATCTAATGGTCAGTCAGTCAGTCTTCATTGAAAATATTGAATATCTTTATCCATCTAAGCTTTGGCTCCCTCAAAATTGAAAAACTGTCATTCCCTTTTCACTCACTGCAGTCCAGATCTGAAAATCAATTTTCTCCACATATTTTGGATCTAAAACCCTTTTGACCAACCCCTATGCACAGAACTGCAGGACTTCCCCTTCCCATCCTACATCAGAAGGTCCTTCAGTTGTTGATGTTATCAAGTATATTAGAGTATTCGCCTCTAATTTTCTCATCCCACTTGTCTTTGTTTTGGCCAATTTACCAACATGCAGAAAATGAGATTGCTGGAAAAGACAATAATCCTTCTTGTTTCATGATTTAGCTTTTGCTAGCTTCAAAAATATGTGTGTGTGTGTTCATTGTTCTTTCTCTTGTTTGCCCCTCACCTTATCTGAAGTTTTTCAGTGTTATGAAAATCACTTAGATGGCCATTGCCTATCCCTTGATCCATTAATGTGAACCTTAATTTAGGGGTCGTTTGACAACGGATGAAATTACTGAACTGAAAGACTTATTGCTTTGTTTTTTTTAGTTGTTAAAATAATTAAATAATGAAAATTTCAAGGGTATAGTGATCTACCCAACTTCAGCTTCGACCATTAAGGAGCCCAACCTCTTAAAAACTTATATGCTAAAAGACAAAGCAATAAGCTTTTCAATTTAGCATTTACGGCTGTTACCAAACAGCCCCTTAGCCTAACTATAGTAGGGAGGGGGATTTGATCATATATATATATAGATTAAATTTAATTCACAGATTTTTTTTTCTCTGTGGAATGGATTTTCTAAGTAATTAGTCTAAAAAATAAGTTGAGATTGCCTGATATAATATTGTGTTTATTTTTTCATGTCATATTGTATTAACTCAACAGAAGTGAACTTAGGTAATAGATATTATTAGATGTATCAAATTGTAATTAGTGTTTTAAAAGGTGTTACACTTGGAGGCACACCTCCAGGCAAGGTGCCCCCAAAACGCCCTGAGGCTTATGCCAAAGGCATTGATGCCTCTCTAGCGTACGCCTCATATGCCTTTTGCATGAGGTATGCAGCGTATGCGTATGCTAGAGGTGTACACCTGATGCACCTCATGCATGTCTCATACAAAAATACAAAAAAAAAGACAACAAAAGAAAAAAAATGAAAGGAAAAGGGAAGGGAAGGGAAGGGAAAGAAAAAGAAAGAAAGAGAAGAAAAAATGAAAAAGAAAGGAAAAGGAAGGAAAGAGGAGGGGAAATAAATAAAAGATGAGATCCTCCTTCCTCTTCTTCTTCCTCCCCACCCCTACCCCTCTTTTTTCCTTCTCACCCCCCTCCTCTTAAGGAGGCTTATGCCTTCTATGTTCTGAACCACACTTCACGCCTCCAGGTAGTAGATTGCGTCATGTCATGCCTCCTTGTTTTAAAAGATTGATTGTAATTCCATTGTTGAATTCTTGCCATGGGATGTTTGTGCTGGAGAATCAGCTAGAGTGAGAAGACATGATTCTGGAATGATTTTACTGAACATTTTAGTGTCAATAGTCTATACAGTTTTCTTATGACTATTTATTGATATTGGTGTTGAATTTTGGATGTGCTATTGAAGCTTTAGTGGCATATCGTGGTGCTGAAGTGCTATGACTGAACAAGGCAGCACCTCTGGACTCTAGGGCATTTTGGTCAATAAAAGTGATTAGTAGAGGGTGTATTACAATGATCAAATTGCTACAGAGGTGTCACCTTGGCTCAATCACTAATTTGTCAGAAGCATTTTTTTGCTGTTGAAGATTCAGCAGCGAATCCATTCTTTTGATGTTGCTTCTTGGAAGCAAAATGTATGTGGATTTGGTTTCATGCATTACCATTGCATTTGCATCCAATTATGTCTTTTGTCGGCAAATTAAGAAAGATATGATTAAGAGATTTGAATAAATTTAGGAAAGATTWGATTTGAATAAATTTAGGAAAGTCAKATCCTAGGATTAAGGGAAAGATTTAGTCAATCCCTGATTGAGAGAAATTCTAGGGGTTTCCTATCTTTTCTTATTTAAGGTGTATGCTCAATATGTTTTTATCATCAATAAAGAAAATCTTCTTCTTTTCTCCCTCTATATTTCACAACATCTTTAGATAGGCAAGTCAAGATAAGCCTAATCTTTAAGCATAAAAGGGATGCTATTTGCAACAAAATTATAAATCTCGGAGTAGTTATTAAAATAAAGCCCAAGCTATAACTCAAAGTAATTTGTTAAGGTAGGAAAAAGAAAAACTTTAATTTAGATAAATGACAGTTGGCTAAATCCCTAATTAAACATTAATCAACCCAATATCTTACTGGATTGCAATGGTTATGAGATGTCTAATCAATTGGATGGCTGAGCAGAGCTTAGCCAATTGGGATGTCCTGGACCAGGATCTACTTATGTGGTGTAGCTTGCTTTTTCTGGTCATTACACATTCATCCTCCACAAGTATTTGTAGCACTCAGGTAGCCAGGCCTCATCTTGATAGTATATTGCTCAAGTCTCTTCCAACTTGATTGGTGATCTTGGACCTTGCATTGGACCAATTGATCAAGGGCAGGTTCCTAAAACATGATCCTGTATCAATAAAGTTAAAGCTACATTTAGGATTCCATTTTATGGGATCAATTGCATGCCTGTTGGATTTGGGTATGGACCAGTTTATCTGCCACATGGTATTCAAAAAAGTTAAAACTACATCTAGGAATCCATTTTATGGATCAACTGCATGGCATACATGTTGGATTTGGTTTTGGATCAGTTTGTCTGCCACATGGTATTCACATCCAGAGCCAAGAAAAGCCTTAGTCTGACACATGTAATCACCAGCTTATAAGCAACTCAATTTTATCACTGTACTTCATTCTTTTGATATTGTGCTAAAGCCTTTCTTAAACTTGCAGATTACAACTGATGATTTGCTACAAGCTGCACAAATAGAAGAAAGAGGATTGCTTGATAGAAAAGATAGAAGCCCAGAGATGTGGAAGCAACTAGCTCTTAATGAAGCAGCCATGGCTGTAGTAGCTGTGAACTTTCCTGATCTTAAGAATATTGAGTTTGTAATTTTCTCTACTCAACTTTGTTACTTCATATATTTATCTTTCTCATTTTCTACATGAAAGCTATGATAGCTGATGCATGAATGCACCTAGTGCACCATGTTGGTACAATGCAGTACCAACACTTACACTGGATACTGCATGTACAGTACTAGAGTTTAAATATGTTATTTCAAACCATCGTCATCACCATCTAAGCCTTGTCCTATCTCTATGGGGTCGGCTACAGGAATCCTGTTTTCCCATTTGATTCGGTTTTGTCCATATCCATAAATGTGTTATGTCAAATGTTATTCTTTTTAACTCCCCCAGTTTTTTTAGAAGGAAAGCATCCCTAATCAGAAGACACATAATACATGTTTGAAAAGACAAAAACACCCTCATCTTTTAATTATTATTATCTATTAGCATAATAAATGGTTTCTTTGTCTTCTCACATGGGATTTGCCCAAATAAGTGTTGTGCTTTTTATGTATTACACTTCCTATGATAAGTCCCCTTATTTTGTCAGTAAAAATAAGAAACTTGTAAATGTTGGAAGTTAATTGAAATTGCAGGGATACAACTTACAAGTATCGGGAACTATAAGTTGCTTAAAACATAAAAGTGAAGGCATTATATTAGGTGGCGTTTGATGACACTTTTCAGACCTCTGAAGTCTGAAAATTTTGCTTTCAGACGTCAGAGGTATTTGGAAGTGTATATGAATTTGGGTCTGAAAATTATTTTCAGATCTGAAATAGTAAGACCGGGGCCAGGTGCTGAATGCGTTCAGATGCATTTCAAACCTGGCTGAAAGTCCAAAATACCCTTAAAAACATGTTTGCGTTTCTCCCTCTCACCGTTCATCTTCTCCACTTGACGCAGCGGCAGCAAGTGACTCCTCTAGCGAACTAGCAGCGGCGGCGGCGAGTTCCAGCCCTCTCTCTCTCTCTCTCTTCATTCTTCTTTTTTTTTTGATGAATGATAATAAATTTATTAATTCAGAAGCAGATTTAGAGTGAGTTCATACAACATCCCAGGGAGAGGCGCGAGCTGCAGCCCCTCCTTGAATCTTACAAGTAAACTATGAAAGAAAAGCAAGAATCACAACTGAGCCCAAAACAATTCTTC